CATTCTCATTTGACCACTTTACACTAATTATATATTTTCAATTAACAGTCCATCAAAGACCCAGAGGGGAGGATGAGTGGTCCATTTTCTATGATTACATAGTAAAAGGTAACTAACTAGGATGCAGGATATTTTTAAGATGCACTAATTCTAATTACAATTACTATAATAATTACAGAAAAGGTAACTCCAATATTTTTCCAACCATTATAATTTTGGTTTTATAATATTTTTACTTCTTGAAAATTGTTAAGAATACAATTACAATACCTTGCATGAGTAATATGAAGCCCAAAAATATTGGGTTTGCTTTTAAAGATTCAGGACAAGTTTTCAAAATGTTAAAATATTATACAAAAATGAAATAGAGGTGAGGCATGGTGGCTCATGCCTGCAATCCAGCACTTTGGGAGGCTGAGGAGGGAGGATCACTTGAGGGCAAGAGTTCGAGACCAACCTGGCCAACATGGTGAAACCTCGTCTCTACGAAAAATACAAAAATTAGGCGGGTGGGGTGGCATGTGCCTGTAATCCCAGTTACTCCGGACGCTGAGGCAGGAGAATTGCTTGAACCCAGGAGGCAGAGGTTGCAGTGAGCTGAGACTGCACCACTGCAGTCCAGTTTGGGCAACAAGAGTGAAACTCTGTCTCAAAACAACGACGACAAAATGAAATAGAAGTCTGAACTTTCACAAGTGAGAGAATACCAGTCTTAAGTGGTGTGAAACTGATTACAAATTTATTTATTGGTTCAAGGAACTGACATGTTTTTGATCACCAATTCTGTGCCAGGTTTTTTTCTAGACACTAGAATAATAAACAAGGCAGATATAGTTCCTGCTCTCATTAAACTTATATTTTGGCCAAATTAAACAACAACTATAAGAACATAACATGGGCCGGGCGCAGTGGCTCAAGCCTGTAATCCCAGCACTTTGGGAGGCCGAGACGGACGGATCACGAGGTCAGGAGATCAAGACCATCCTGGCTAAGCCGGTGAAACCCCGTCTCTACTAAAAAATACAAAAAACTAGCCGGGCGAGGTGGCGAGCGCCTGTAGTCCCAGCTACTCGGGAGGCGGAGCTTTCAGTGAGCTGAGATAGGGCCACTGCACTCCAGCCTGGGCGACAGAGCAAGACTTCGTCTCAAAAAAAAAAAAAAAAAAAAAAAAAAAGAACATAACATGAACAAGAAAACTATGAGAAGATAAATGCTACATGGATAATTCAAATATTCAAATACAGTAATTTTAAAGAGTGACCCAGGTGGGGCAGCTTATGCCTGTAATCCATAGCACTTTGGGAGGCTGAAGCAGGAAAATCCTTTGAGTCCAGAAGTTCAAGACCACCCTGGGCCACATGACAAAACCTGGGCCACATGACAATTCTCTATTAAAAAAAAGAATTGGGAGGGGGTGGGGTTAGGGAGAGGGCACGGTGGCTCATGCCTGTAATCCCAGCACTTTGGGAGACCAAGGTGGGCGGATCATGAGGTCAAGAGATACAGACCATCATGGCCAACATGGTGAAACCCTGTCTCTACTAAAAATACAAAAATTAGCTGGGCGTGGTGGCGCACGCCTGTAGTCCCAGCTATTCAGGAGGCTGAGGCAGGAGAATTGCTTGAATCCGGGAGGCAGAGGTTGCAGTGAGTCGAAATTGTGCCACTGCACTCCAGTCTGGCAACAGAGTCAGACTCCATTTCAAAAAAAAAAAAAAAAAGGGAGGGGGCGACCTGATGGCCACTCTTTAGTTGCTAAGGGAAGGCCCCTCTGAAGATGTGGCATTGAACAGAGATCTGAGTGACAAGAAGCCAGCAATGTGAAGTTCAGAGCATTTCATGTAGAGCATTCAGCCAAGGCAAATGTTCTAAGGCAGGAACTAGCTTGACATGCTTAAAGAACTCCAAGAATGTCAATTCGCTACAGTGGGGTGGATAAAAAGGAGTAGGAAGCAATGAGGTCAGAGATAGGGGTGGGGCTATCTCATATTTTAGGACAGGGTAAGGATTTATATTTATGTTCTCAGAAGAACGAGAAGTAATGGAAGTGTGAATGAGAAGTAATGGAAGTATTTTAAGCAGGGAAATTGCATTTGATTTACATTTTAAAATAATTACTTGGCCTCTTTCTGCTTATGCGGGGGTGGGAGGGAACAGAGTGCATGCAGGAAGGTGAGTTTAGGGCTTACTGCAGTGTCTAGGTGAGACAATATAGTGTCATAAACTGATGTGACAGTTGCAGAGATACAGGCAAAAGGGTGGATTTGAGATATATATTTGGTAACACAAAGGTCAGAGTTTGCTTTTGGCTTGAATATGGAGCTGGGGGAGATAAGAATTGAAGGATTTCCAGATTTTTGGCTGAAGTGACTGGGTAGATAGATAATGTTACTATTTAAAAGATGGAGAAGACTAGAGAGGTGGAGGTTCCATTTGAAATATGTTAGAAATCTGGGTGGAGGTGCTAAGGAAGCAATTGCCTTTACAAAGTCTGGAGTCCCAGGAGAGATCAGGATTGGAGATACTAATCTGGAAGTCATTGGCATATGGATAGTATTTAAAAGCCATGGGCTTGGATGGGGCAGATAAGAGGAGCTTGCAGACTAAAAAGAGAAGATTGCTTGGAAAATGCCTAAATAATATTCCAATGTGGTTGAGATTTAAGTTGTTAGAAGAAAAATTTAGAGAAAAAAACAGTTAAGTTCAGTTTTTAGTACATTATAGTTGAAGACATCTAAGTGAAAATGTCAAATAGGTGGTGGGGTATGCGTTTGGAATTGAGGGGAGAGGCCTGAGCTTTTAAAAGGACTGTTTTTCAAAACAGAAGGGCAAAAAGCCCAACTTTTTACCCTACCTCCAAACAATACTCAAACCCAGCCCTTCTGAATAACGTGAGCATGGCTAACCTATATTTTCCTAATAACAGAAAGCGTAAGGAAAATACACTTTAAGAGGAGCAATATTTTTATACTTGTGTTTTCTTAATGTTTTTGCCAAGAGTTTATATCTCACCAGTGTGTATTTTATTCTCTGATTTTTGATTCTTGGATAAGAGTTTAATTTCTGAAGTTAAGGTACAAGAAATAATATCCAAAAGCTGTGTCAACTGCCAGAAGTTAAATTTTACCAGTTTATCCCTATTCTAATAGAAAGTTTGGAGGATTCTGGGTATTTGCACTATCTTCAAATATATATGCCTTCAAATATACAACTTGATTCATACACCATATCATACTGCATATATTCATGGACTATATCTTTTCTCCTATGCTATAGGAGAAGCTCCCTCATTAGACTGTGAGCCTCACAAGAGTTTAGGTCTTGCCTGTTTTCACCACTGTATCCTAAAAAGGAAATAAAAGCAAATACAAAATCAAGGAGAGAAGAGTCAATAAAGGCAAAGAAATGGGCAGGGAGCCAGAGGGTAGCAGAGGAAGCACACGACATGCAAAACCTGAGCACAGCTAGAGCAACAGACAAGGGAGGACTCGAAACAAGAGGGGAAACAAAGTGGTGGCCATGGGAGAGAGGGAGAGGAAGACCCGGGGGGTCAGAGAGCAAGGAGGAGGGTCAAGAAGGAAGAACGCAGGAGAGAAGGGAGCAAGGTGGGTAAGGGAGTCGTGGAGAAGAAGGGCCAGGACAAAAAGGGGCTTTTTAGATTTCAAGGAATAGGAGAGAGGGGAGGCAAATGAGCCCAGGGGAGAAAGAGAGGGGATGTAAGAGAAAAAGGAAATGAGATACCTTGTTTGAAAGCACTTGCTCCACTTCAGGAACTAAAGAAATATTAGTTTCACTCATTCAAATTAATTTCAAACTTGATTTCCTTAAAAAAAAAAAAAAACCTAAATCCTTGTGAAATAAAGTTAATTTTATGGCAAACAACAGAATACTGTAGTGGTTGGGAAAATGGGTTTGAATACCGTTGCCACCCAGCATCATCTGAGGGTCTGGCAAAGGGGAATTGTTTGATACCACTAAGGGTGTAGAGAACAACAGAAACTTACAAAGATAGTACTTCTCCTGCTGCAAAGCACTATCCTAAGTGCTTTCCACATGTTAATTTAATACTCACAATAACTTTACGAGGTGAGAATATTGAGGCACCTAGAAATTTCAGTAACTAGCCCAAGGTCACAGATCTTATAAGTGCAAGAGCTGGGTTTTTAACTCAAGCAGTGTGGTTTTGGAATTAGTGACTTTATTCACTACATACACAGACTCTCAAAGAGATTAACAGAGAGTGTATAAACATAATTTGAGACAATAATTACCCTAAAAAATGATGGATCTTATTCATGATCAAAACAGCAATTATAACTAGAGAAACAAGGCTCCTTCACACCATTGCTAAAGGAGAATCTGTAATAAAAACACAAAATCACGAGAAAATACGACAAAAGTCCATTATGACCAGTACATTATACTAATAACAGCTTCTTGAATTGGATAATTTTATTTTGGACTTTTTTTGTTCTTCCTTCTGTTTTCTCTTTCATGTAATCAATCTGTTGCTAAAATTTCACTCTAAATTTTCTGCAGAATTATTTTTAGGATTGTCGTTTCTTCTCCCAAGGAAACTAGCAGGGGTGCCACAGCTGGATTAATAAAGAATTTGGAGTGAGAGAGATGAATGTCAGTGGAAGCAGATAATAGCCAACAGTTATAATCTATTTCCTTTGAATTAAATATTTTAATTGCTCCTCAAATCCAATGTCAGTTAGAATCCTCACTGGATGTGAAACTATGAATCAGGGTTAGCAGCTCATAAGGACTGTCCCACATGGCCCTAAGGTATTGGAAGAGGAGGAGGAGGAGGAGGAGGAGGAGGCATTTCTCCTCCTAGTCCTTGCCATGGGCTTTAACTACATCCTGCAGTCCAGGGCCATTCTGCATAATATATGGTGGGAAGGCAAGGATAACATGAGAAGAGACTTTTAAAACAGCAAATTTCTCCCTAAACACTGCAAATTTCTCTAGAAACAAGAAACACATAGACTCACTTTTTCATTGTAGATGTCCCCAAGCATTGTACTTGCTCTCACAAAATCTAGGCTTTGAAAATTGTTTCTTGCAATTTTCACAAATTTTTTCAAGTATTTAATTGCTTCTGTCGTATTTCCTTGGCTAGAATGAATGAAATAGGACATCAATGGAGTATCATCTTACTTAATGTCACAATAAAGAGAAAGTATCTTGTGTCTTTCCTGTAGAAAATGCAAGATGGTTATCAGGATAATGAGATTTAATGTGTAAATACGAAATTAAAAATACATGGCTTGTTTTTGTTGGAGCATACACTGAGTTAAAACTGAAACTTTTAAATCCTCATGCATTGCTAATGGAAATGTAAAATGGTACATCTTCTTAACAACTTGGCAGTTCCTCGAAAACTTTAACATAGAGTTACCATATGACCCAGAAATTTTACTCCAAAATATATACCCAAGTGAAGCAAAAATATGTCAACACAAAAAGTCATATACATGAAAGTTCATAGCAGCATTAATCATAATAGCCAAGGCATGAAAACAATTGAAATGTGTATCAACTGATGAATGGGTAAACAAAATATGGTATATACCTACAATGAAATATTATACAGTCTTAAAAATGAATGAGGTAGGCCAGGTGCGGTGGCTCACACCTGTAATCCCAGCACTTTGGAGGCCCAGACAGGTGGATCATGAGGTCAGGAGATCGAGACCATCCTGGCTAACATGGTGAAACCCCTGCCTCTACTAAAAATATAAAAAATTAACTGGGCGTGGTAGCGGGTAACTGAAGTCCCAGCTACTCGGGAGGCTGAGGCAGGAGAATGGCATGAACACAGGAGGTGGAGCTTGCAGTGAGCTGAGATAGCACCACTGCACTCCACCCTGGGCAACAGAGTGAGACTCAAAATCAAAATAAATAAATAAATAAATAAATAAATAAATAAATAAGGTAGTGATGCATGTTGCAACATGGATGAAACTTGAAAATATGCTAACTGAAAGAAACCAGACAACAGAAGATCACACACCATATGAGCCCATTTACACAATATGTCCAGAATGGCAAATCCATGAGATGGAAAGTAGGCTAGTGGTCGCTAGAGGCTGAGAAAAGTGGAGGATTGAGAAATGACAAATAATGGGTACAAGGTTTCCTTTTAGGGTGACTGAAATTAGATAGTGGCCATGGTTGCTCAATCCTGTGAGTATACTAGAAACCACTGAATTGTATTAAACTTTTAAAGTGAGGACTCTTTTAAATTGTAGATTTTTAAAGTCTACAATTGTTAAAGTCATAGTTGTATAGCATATGAATTATGTCTCACTAAAGCTGTTTTTTTTTTTTAAAAAAAAAAACCTTTTAAAAGTTTATAAAAGGTGAATACTAGCTTGTTCTTGAAAGCTTTCATTGGTAGTGAATGCTCAGGTGTCACTAAAGTCACATATACAAGTGTTACATATCCTCACAAAATGTTCAGGAAGACATAATTTCTAGCAGACAATTTGTCATGTAGTAAGCATTAATACATTTTTGAATGAGGTAATGTTGAAAATTTGAGAAGGGAGACACATATGCTGCACACATGAAGCTAAGCATCGAGGTAAACTGTGAGAACCTTAAGGCATATAGATGTTTGGAGTCTAAGACTGTAAACTCCTGACCCTTGGATATTCCAGTAACATCAAGAAACTTTAGGAGTCTAGCAAATGTCCCAAAATTTGCTAGTTGCTGGGGAATAGGGTTCCTGTGCTTGAAGTGTTTCACTGTCAATTTGGAGAAGTAAGTGTATAAACTCATACATGGGATCAACTGTGACAGGTACTGACTTGTATACAGTGCTTTGAAACCTGGAGTACATTCATTTGCCTATCCTCATAAAAACATGTGTAGTGTTTTTGTTGTTGTTGTTGTTGTTTTCTAGGTTTTCTAAATGTGACTCCAAATTCTTTTGGCTATTTCTAAAGACTGAGCCCACCTCTCAACTGGGGCTGTTTAAAAGAGTATGTTGCAAGTTCAGAAAGTATTTTCTTAAAAAAAAATAAAAAGTGGGGGGAATACATGTGTAGAACGTGCAGGTTTGTTACATAGGTCTACGTAGGTCATGGTGGTTTGCTGCACCTATTGACCCATCCTCTAAGTTCCCTCCCCTCACTCCCCACCCTTCCACAGGCCCTGGTGTGTGTTGTTCTCCTTTCTGTGTCCATGTGTTCTCAGTGTTCAACTCCCACTTAAGAGTGAGAACATGGGGTGTTTGGTTTTCTGTTCCTGTGATAGTTTGCTGAGGATGGTGGCTTCCAGCTTCATCCATGTCCCCACAAAGCATGTGATCTCATTCCTTTTTATGGCTGCATAGTATTCCATGGTGTATGTACCACATTTTCTTTATCCAGTCTATCACTGATGGGCATTTGGGTTAGTTCCATGTCTTTGCTATTGTAAATAGTGCTGCAATAAACATACGTGTGCATGTATCTTTATAGGTTTACTGAATCAATTTCTGTAGGATCCTTAGGTATATATCCAGTAATGGGATTACTGGGTCAAATGATATTGCTGCTTCTAGATCTCTGAGGAATCGCCATACTGTCTTCCACATTGGTTGAACTAATTTACACTTCCACCAACAGTGTAGAAGTGTTCCTATTTCTCCACAGTCTCACCAGAATCTATTGTTTCCTGACTTTTTAATAATTGCCATTCTGACTGGGGTGAGATGGTATCTCCTTG